GGGCGGGGCAGGGCGTGGGGGGACGGGGCGGCTCCCAGGAGGAGCGTGCCCTGCAACGGCTGCTGTGCCCCTACCCGCCACTGCAGCCCCCTGGACACGACACGGCTCTGCCCGTTTGCCCCCCCCCCCTTTTCCCCGCCGCAGGGGCTTCGGAGCAGCAGGGTATACACGGCGCTCGCAATCCATCTGGCTTCGTCGCGTCCCTTGCGGAGGGTGCGCAGTCAATATTGCAAACGAACGAGCGAGAGAGCGCGCGCGAGAGAGCGAGTGCTCGAGGAAGGAGAAGGCAGAGAGAGGGAGAGAAGGAGGGTGTTGGGGAGCCGCGCGCGCCGCGGGGTCAACAAATAAAGCGCGACGAAAAAGAGGGGTGGCTCCCAAACACCATATCGATACCTTGCCTGCTCCATATCGGCAAGTCCTTTTTACTCCCACCCGCGCCCCTGTGTGAGGCAAAGCCGGCCGGCGGCACTACACATGCCGTTACACGGAGTGCACAAGCGATTTTCAAAGAAAGACAAAACGAAAAATTACACTTTTAAAATGCGACACACCGAGGACAACAAAAAGTTTGCGTGACAGATGGACCGCGCAACTCTTGAGGGGCTCGATATGAGGGGTGGTGGTGGTGGTGGTGGTGAACAGGAGAGAAGGGATGGGGCGGGGTGGGTACGGGGGGACGGGAGGGGGTGCGCACGTCCGTCCGAAGCCACCCTGCGGAGGTCGTGACCGGACAGAATGTCCAGCCGGAGCCGGACCGGGGGCCACGCGGGAGGGAAGGCGAGGGGAGGGAAGGGGAGCCGCGAAGGGGAGCTTGGCGGCAGCCGGCTGCGTGTTTTTGGAGAATGACAGGAATTTACGACGTCCGTGTCCGGATCATAACAACGCCGCGACTGGCAGCGAGGTGCGCCCCGCCCCGCCCCGCCCGCGGCCAGCAGTCTTGCCTCGCTCGTTACTCGTCAATAATTGTCTGACCCCAGCCGACCAGCGGTACTGTGCACCGTGCCGCACCATAGCCAGACTTTGACTAAAAAGTCTTGAAAAGAGAAATGTATTTCTTACATGTATCCAAACGAGTCCAACTCGCAACACACTACATGCGGTGTTGCAAGCTTTGGTCTCGCTCGAACTTGCAGGCCAGCCTCCCCCGCGCCCCCATCCCCCCGTATGAAAAGGCCTTACTGCTACTACATTTTCTGCATTCCGCTGCCCCGGATAGCGGGGCGGCCGTGCCCACCCAGTCCAGCAATGTGCGGGGGGGGCGGGAGTGTTCCCGGACACTGTGCTGCGCTGATGAGACATTTCACGCCGAGCACACCCAGGACACCGCCGCACCGCCCCTCCACACCCGATACAGCCCCCACTACTGTGCGTCGACTGTGCGCCGCCGCCGCCGCCGCCGCCGTCGCCGCGACGACCTGACCGGGTGCAAAAGTTTGCAAGAATAAGGGCACTGGGGCACGCCACAAAAAGAAAACGTTACTCATTTCGGGAGCGCCGCCGCCGCGAGGGTACGGGCGTACGCGTACTTCCGAGCAAACTTTGGCGTCGTCCGGTGTCAGGCGGTGGCGGAGGGGGGTTGCGCTTGCAGGGCGGGTGGGATTTCAGATCGCACGGGATACAGCAGGAGGGGAACACGGGGGGCCCAGCGGGCTGGAAGCAACAAACGAGGCTGCTGTGTGCGCGAGCGGGGGCGGCGGGCGGGACCAGCGTGCCACATTAGCCACTCATGCAACTTTGTTTCTCTGCTCCCCGATTTCCTTTACCTCTTGCCCTTGCGCGTCCTACTGCCCCCACCCCCACCGCTGCACCCCCTCTCCCCCGCGTCTCCCTCCTCTTTGCTCGCCTCCCTTTTCGTTTTATATTCAAATTTGAGTGTTAGTTGTGTGCCGCGGGCCGGTCTGCTGTTGTGCCGCGGGGGGGGGCAGGGATTGGGGCCAGCGGGCCGGTCCAGGTGGGGCGGCGGAAGGCGGCTGCAACGCCACACGTTCCCCGCGGGCCGTTTCCAGATAAAGACCCCCACCGCCGAGATCACATTGTTTTAAATAGGTATTCCACCTGCTGCTGCCGCCTGCTGCTGTAGAGGGCGTGCTGCTCGCCTCCCCCAGGACCAGGATCGGCCGCACAGCAGGAGGACCGGGGGCCGGGGGGACGTATATACGTAGGGCCCCGTGCGTAACAGTCAGGCACGGGGTAGCTGAGCGAAGTATGTTAAAATCATAGAACGGTTAAAAAAAAAGAAAAAAGATCGGCATGGCCACTATGTGGTCACGCTCCCATGTTAAATCGTAGGCATCCAAAATTGAGTCGCAGGGATCGTGTCAATAGCTTGACGCCCTGGGTAGGCAACCAATGCTGCATGGGCGTGTGCCGGTACTGCCTAACTACTCCGCACTTCTAACTGTGATTACTACAGCTTAAGGGAGGGGGAAACCTTTATCAATCAGAAGCAAAAATTACATGTATATCAATTTTATTAGAATGTACTTAATTATGAAAAACACTTTTAACTATAATGTTATTCTATTGAAGATTTGTTGCAACATTACAGTGAAAGAAATTCGAGGATGGCCTATCAGACTGGGCTCCAATACAACAGCTCACTAGAAACAAAACCAAAATTTAGTGTGTTTGTATGATCAGGTTGTGATTGAAAGACAATACATTTAAGAATGCAAGTACTTACTCCTTGTAAATATTCAAACTAATCTCCCCATTTTCAACAAAATAAAACAGATGCCAGGTCTACAAACTTAGTTGATTCCAAAACTGCAATCAAAATAATAATTTGTACACAAGAGATTTGAAATATTATTTACCATATACTTCTAAAGCAGAACTCACCTTTGGTTACTACTCCACTAATAACAATTTAATCAGAATTTACGCAGAACTTTGGGTTAGCCTTTTGGTCTTGCACAACCAAGCGGTAATATTTAGCTGTCTCCCAGCTGCTGATACTCTCGTTCATGTCCAATAGGAGTCTGTAATAAGTAAAATACCGTTGTGACCACACAGAGTCAAAAGGTTGGGGGGGGGGGGGAGGGGAGCTCTCCAGGTTGCTTTTGCACAGCTAAGTATTGAGGGGGGTTTAACCTGCTGACTTACTTGATGGGCCCGGTCAAGTCCATGGCCTCGCGCCCGAGCCCTGGGTGTGTCGCCTGCTACTTCTTGCTGCACCACGGGCACTACTACCGTAGGCGGCGCCGGGCCGGACCTGTGGCGCCTGTGGCCTCGCTGAGGCTGTCCACGCTCGTGACAACTTGCATGGTGCTGGTCTGGGAGTAGTAGTAGTGGCCGCCGCCGGCGACCCGGACGACTCTCCCGCTCCCGGCCAGAACTCTACCGAAGCGATGGCCTGCTCGGCTCGGCGTTGAAACGGTGACAATCCCTCTTCGATGCTCGGTAATTTTCTCTGTAGTTGGGAGAGAGTGTTAAGGGTTAAGGGAAGGCCTCACATACGTTACAGTAATCAAATTATGAAAAAAAAGTTAGAACTTACCTTTCCAAAAGACAGCTCCAAGGCTTTCCAGCACT